TCCAGCCCAGTGAGGGTCCGGCGCGAAGTTGATTGCCATGGAAATATTCGGACCGACATTCACGACTTGATGGTAAGTCTCCGCGAATGTCGCAATCATCTCTCCGGCTCCGCACGGCACAATTCGATATGGTATCTCCCATTGATCCAGAAGTTCCGGTGAAAGCAGGCTATCCAGATGGCGGACGAACTGGGAGCACGAATAATCCTTGCCTTCGAGCCTCTCCTTCGCTTTGCTTTCGAGCTCTTCACGATATGCTGGCTCCACCATAAGCCATACTTTAGGCGCCCCTGCGAGGACAATGTTGATAGATCCGAGGAATCCGTCCTCTACGTGCAAAGCTGAGCCTGATCCACGGCTTGCGCTGATGTACAGATACGCGGTATGCACCCCATGGATCCAGCCGTTTGTCAATTTGAGCCTTCTGCCGCAGTCCAAGAGCCCCGAGGATAGACCAATCGACTCCAGCCAGTAGGTTACGAACTCTACTGGCATCACAAGGTAAGACGTGTCCTCCCCGTAAGCATCTCTCACGGTAGAGGACAGCAGTTCTCGATAATCTAGTCCTGGATCTGTCCAATGTAGGTCCGGAATGCGAAATGACGAGCTCTGGACCGGTGCGACTTCGTGCTTACACATGAGACCACGAAGCTCGTAGTTCTCGGATGGCGAAAGGCGCACTGCTTGAGACTGGTACCAGCTTTCGATTCGAATTGTCGAGCCGCTGATTTTCTCTAGGTCTATGCTGAGGTCATTTCCAGCCGTGCTCTTGAAGTAGCCGATCTCTTTGCTCGCCGGAAACTCCTCGACTATTCGATAGATGTTGCGAACGGTGTGCTTGCCTAGCTGTGCTGACTCAAGCTTGATTCCCCCGTTGTAGTAGCCGTCCAATTCGGACTCTTGACGCACGACTGAGTTTGCATGCTCTGAAGAGGAAGCCGACCCACAGGTAGAAGTCTGCTCTCCACTTTCGTTATCCGATTCGGCTGCCTGCTTGTCGGCTGGGTAAAGCGGTCCCTTGGCGTGTTTGATCAATTTCTCGGCGTGTTGGAGCAGTTTGTCGGCCTGGCCGTGCAGGCCCCCGGCATATCGTTTGATTTTTAGAACGTGGATCTTGGTTGCGTTCCGCAGCTGACATAGCTGGCCCGCTACTTCCTAGTCGACAATCAGTCTTGCGTGTGTATATGCACGGGAGACTTACAGCTACTTGGGACAACAACTTCTCCAAATCGGATGCTACCTTCCGGACATTTACCGGCGATGTTCTGCGCCGAATTCTAGGAGCCATGGAGGACGGGTGTCCACTAAAGATCGACGGCGTTGGAGCCTTTAAATGTCGGGACGTGGGCGGCACAGCCTTCGCGCTATGATACTAGCGGTTTAGCGTGGCTAGATTGTCCGTGCGTGCCAGCAGCCAGATTCCAAAAAACCAAGTTGCCGCTGGCACGCACGGACTCCCAACCACAATGCCTGCAACGCCTACCCAAGAGTCTCAGATACCTGCTCCTGTGCCTGTGAAACGACGCCAATGGGGTCGATCGGTCGCACTTCGCTTTCTTCTTTTCAGACGGATCTATAGAGCAATGCATCCAGTATGGCGCTACAATTATATCACCTACCGCACCGCTTCGGCAATGCGACTGCCTGTCTAGGGAATCCGATCGAAGGAAACCGGCACACAGAAGACTCAACTGGGAGTCTTGATAGGCGAGGTGCTCAAAATCTATATTGAGTCGTTCTAGACTTACATACAAAGCAGATCAAGCCTGACGTCTCCTTTTCTTCCAACTTCTCCTGGGAGCAAGACTGTAGACTTTGCCAGCCACTTTTGCACAGGACTGAACTCAGCTGATGCTGACCTAACGGGACCGATGACAGATTACATCACCATTCCTTTAACTAACCTCTAGCCAAGATCACGCTTTAGTGCTCAGCACTCCACTTGCGGGCTTTTTTGCAGTATTCGAGACCCACGTTCTCCTGCTGCTAAAGTTAGCTGCGTTATAGATCAACGAGCCTGGAATGACACTGACAGATGCGAGACGGACCCCAAGCCACAGGATCCTCTCGGTTCGTAGCTTCGTAGTCGACGCTAGTTCCAACAACTGATCTTCTTCATCAACCACAGCGCTGAACCACGCAGTCGGATAATACGAATGAGCCCACAGTTGACCCCGAATGATGTAGTCCTCTGGCAACGGACGGAAGACTTCTTCGTCTCTATGGATGAAATGAGGCGCTTCGATTGCTGGTGTGATTGTTGTTGACCTCGCCAGAGTGTTCAGAAAAAAGACAAAGTCTTTCTACTGAATGTGCCCGAAAATGTAGGAAGTGTCGCAGGGAAGCGTCATGGCTTGATTTAAAAAAGTGAGCAGGATGTGAAAGTGAGTGAGGATATTCTTGTCCACGAAGCGTTGGAGAACGACCTCTAACGTGTCGAACGTAAGACGGCAAGCACAAGAAAAAGCCTCGGCAGTCCGGGAGTCGAGCTGTATGCTGTGGGGTAGCATGGCGTAGGAGAGCTGTCTACACAGTTTGTTTTGCAGCTGCGCCTCAAAAGCGAGGCGTAGGAAGTTATCCTCGCCGCCGTAATCGAATAAGCTAGAAATGTTTGCAATTACCATGTACGCACCTCGCTCTTTCCACTTCGACGTAACTCGCCCAATACTTCCGTCCAGCTCCTCGATGAACTTTTCGAGGACCTGGTTGAATTCGTTTTGTTCGAATATGTGATCCTCTGCGCACAGTATTCCATGGGCGCGTACGAAATTGGTCTCAACCGGGAGTAAATGAAGATACGGTCCAGAGGAGTGGTCGAGGATACGCTCGGAGAGGGTGAGGATAGACCCGCGCGCTCTCGAAAACGGATTGGCGCAGGTAAGCGAGCGGCAGTAAAGATAAAGCTGCTGTAGAGCATTCGGCATCGCGAGGACGGCCATGCGATGGTAGAGACGACCAGCTGACGGGCTTTTGTGGGCAGCTTTGCTGTACCAAGAGCGAGCAACCTCTGTCCACGTCTTCCGGGCCTCGAGATCTTCCTCTATTGCCATTCGATATCGTCCGAGCTCCCCGAGACATTCGATCCAGACATTTTCGAAAGCAGGAACAGCCTCATAGAGAACTGCCATCATCTGGTACGCCAGGAGTATGAAAGTGAGCATGTGCTCCAACGATCCTGGCAAACGACGGCGAAGAAGTTCCAGAAATGAATGTACTCCGTGCTCCCATATTCGGATGGGCATGGCATGTGTCAACTGGCGAAGTTCTGGGCTCGCTGAAGGGTGCTGCGACACTAAAAGCAAATCATGATGCTCATGGAGCAAAGACTTGTGCAGCGTAATGAAAGCATTCCAGTAATCCGAGGACAGGACGCGACTCTGATTCGAGCCCTCATCTCTCTTGGTGGCTGTCAGGGCCTCCCTAACGGCATGGATGCATTTTGCCTCGACCATGGTAAGAGCGGCGTGGATTGAATTTGCTTCTTTGGCAAGCGTTTCCTGAGAGATTGGGCGGGAGTCTAACTGAAGTACCAAGTCCGGCCACTGTTCATCCGTAGGCGTAGGCAAGGCTCCTGGTTGGCTAGGTACAGAGGGAGGAACCAGGCCGCCCCGACGCGATGCCGACGAGGACACTAAAAAATGTCAGGCCGGATACACTTCCATAAATTTTGGTACGTACCCGAATGTTCCCCCTTCTCCGACGGGCTCTTACTTTGTATGGTAAGCCTGGTCATATCCGGCATCTGGCCTCTGGTCGTGGCATCGCCGCGAGATTGGCGCTTCACATGTATCTGGTCTTCGGTACGGCGCTGGTTCTGGGCGACAGCAATCTGCTTTCTAAGGGACTAGTCAGATTTTATGACTGGGACGATTGGGAATAGACCTGCCCTTTGTGAAGAGCCTCATCTCTTATCAGTTTCCAAAACAACTCAGTGTTTCCTTTGACACCCGAGCCTTGGATTTTGCTGCAATGGCTCGCGTTGACGTGGTCCCGAAGCGTATCATCGCCATCAAAAAGCTTCTGTTCGCAGTAAGGACAGGCCAGGGTTTTGTACAAAGACTGAGATGGGGTCGTCGCCTTCGCCTGCATTGGTTGAGTCGGTGCTAAATTCTCGTCCGAATTGAAGCAAAGGGTGTCCATATCTCGGTAATTGCAATAGGAGCGATTGTCTCTCTAGTTGATGGACCAGATGGAGGCGTGGTGTTGGTTGAGACAGCCTGGTGGATGGCCAAAGGCCTAAGCTGAGAAAAGAGGCAGTACGTGAAATAATCGTAAGATGGCAAATTTTGCATGCCCATGTACGAGCTACGTATATATATGTCTTTCCTCTAAGGAATAAACTTGCAGGCAAACGGTTCGCATAAATGGTTATCAGCCACCATAAAGTGGGCAAATTGTAGCTGGTTGCCTGGTAGCCCCTAAAAATAACCTCCGTCCTACAATTGCCATAGCATACTTTCCCTTAATTGGAGCATCTACCAATCTTCTGGTTAGCTTGATGTTCATGTCATGTTTCGGATTATAATTGTGCAAACGCTATCCCGTGTCGCAACCACGTCGTTAGATTGTCCCACACGCAAGGCGGCCATGCGAAATGATGCATATGATCAGACAATTGATCTCTGAGCCTGCGATATGCGTCTGTTTCTGTCTCTGGAAGTACAGGCCTTCCAATCTTACACAGTTGACTACATCAGCCGTTGAAATGGACCAGCAGTGTCCACTCTGACTTTTACTAGGAATTGAATGAGATTCAAGACCAAAGGCGCTGATTGCATGTAGAACTACAAATCCCAAGTTGTTGAAAAGAGGACGAATGTATCGTACACCTAACATTTTTACAAATCTCTTTTAAATACTGAATTTCAATGGGAAATTTTGAAACGCATCAACTCCCATTAAACGATGGTGGTAAAACGAAATTCATGTCCCCACAGAAGCATCCATATAGCTAGCTTCCGCCCTATGAAGGGAATCCAGCGTGTTCTCAAGAATCAGGGCATCTACTCGCAGCGTTGGTGATATGGGTTCTAGACGGCGTAAAAACATTATTGTACGCTTAATAAGTTCAATGACGCGGACGTGCGGGACAAGATTACGCATCCACGACTTACGGACTGCTGCTAATATAAGGCAATTGCCAAATTGTCTGTAGTCCGTAAGATTAGCATACTCTTCTAAAATATTTTCTACTCTCTACTTACGCATGAGTAGTACTAAAAACGTTGGTGACGAGTAGTCGCTCGTTGGCGTTCTCAAGGCCGTTAAAAGCGACAATGCTCTGCATTGCCGAGTCGACGCAGCGCTTGCTTGCCATTATGGCCCCATGCCAATATTTCTCAGATAGAGAGTCCAAAATTTCCGATGGATCAGGCGAATCATCTTCGTCGCCGGGCGTGAAGTCGTATTTCTTCATTATGAAGTCTGGGGCCGAATCGGCATGAATCGCATGGAGAAGCGTTGGCCTCGTGATAATGTGTATCACGCTGTAGTACTTGGCGCGCATACGTGCTTTGTTGGCGTTATCAGAGGGTCCATCCGAGTCATCCCATCGAAGGCATTCTGGAAGTGTTTCCCGCCAGGTTCGCAGCTGGTCTTCCAGGATGTCGTTATATACAGCAGACTGCTTTTGCTCTACAAGCTATTAGCTTAGTATTACGTAACGCGAGTAAGTTATCATACGCTTGCCATACAAGGCTGCCTGAGCCTCTTCAAGAATCTTTTGAAGGTGTATCTGAGCCGAAAAACACATCAAATCGATCTCCTCGGACGGTTCCATTCGACTGGGAAGACCAATGCGTCCTGCATCTTCAGATACATTGTTTGGCCCAAGGTGACTCATTTCGGTACGGATGTTACTTAAAAAAAATCAGCTTTTTTTTTTGCCGAGGAGGTTCTTATGAAAAAGGATTGCAAACTGACCTTTCAAGTTGCCAGCATGTCCAGTATAAAAATTTGATTGAGTTTACCTCGCAACTGTCGACACCATTGGCTACACCCGGAGCGGCTTCTTGAGCAGCCATGTTGTCTGAAACATCCGGCCTCAAAGCGTTATGGTTAAGCGATTCCTTGTTTCTACTCAATGATTAGTTTAACTCTTTGAAGCCGAAATGCTTCTTACTTGTCAATCAGAACACCACAAATTCTACAAACGTGTTGGATCCAGCTCCAGCTTCCCGATACACAAAGCAGCTGATCCTTGTAGAGGCACGCCAATACACCTGCTTGACCGCAAGGGAGATTGTTGCGTCCGTGAACTGTATATAGTATACTACTCGCGAAAGTGTAGTAGTCAAGACCGGGTATGGCGTCATTCAAGGACATAGGACCAAGTAAGTGAGTCTTGTACTTACAAATCCTTCCTAGAGCAAGTACTAGAAGTACTATTGCGTTGTCAATAGTGAGGTTTATGCAGGAGCTCCTGCTGACAGCACCAGGGCTGTATCTTTTGACGAATTCCTTAATCCTGGATGCCAAATGCTGCGTGTCGAGAAGCGGCTGCGAAGGATGTATACCCTTCAAGTAGCTCTGATGTAAGTCATTCACAGTCTCACAATCGAGATCAAGCGTGTCCGGATCTGGACCGCCTCCAGACTTGAGTATCCCTCGCTCATCCTCTAGCTCTTGTGGATTCTCCAGCTCTTCTGGGCCCTCTAGCTCTTGTGGATAATTTATTCCGTTAGGTATGATACCTCGAAAGAAGGGTTCCATTACAGGCCACTCCAGAATGGTATGCGCGGCAGCCGCGTGGTAGGTATTCAACGTGGTCTGAGAAGACAGAAGGGCCTTGTGTGCGGACAACTCTCTTGCCACTATGTTTCGCAGCTTGGATGACGTTTGAAGGGCTCGAAGCTGTCGTTCAACACCATCAAGGCGTTGTGGAACGGATGTAAATCTTTCTACGAGCGCGTCAACTTTCTTCGCGATTTCGTATAGCGTTCGATTTTGCCTGGACTTAATAAGTATACCGCCTAGATACCGTCATGGTTAAAGCATCAGCTTACTTGGGCGGTTGGACGTCTCTGTATATGCATTCCAGCCCCAAATCTTTGCAGTTCCAGCATGATGGGCGCTCTCCGTCGCACTTATGCTTCCGGTTCCGGCAGGTGTCGCAGGCCTGTGTGTTCAGTAAAAGTGGGCGAGGGCAACGGAGACAGCACATACTACTTCGACACGCGCTCGATTCCGAACATTTCTGACAGCGACTTTTTGCCCATTCGGAGGATGGTTGTAAACTAGGGCTCCTGGAGGTGGGTCGTGATAGTAGGATGTGCTGGTATGATGGTTGTTGTGGTCCATCGTCGGTGGCAGTGGCTGCTGGTGCGACAACGGAATACCAGAGGTGGCAGTCTGGTGCGGTCGGGTGTTGATGGGCGAGGGGTGGCTGGGGTTGCTTGGCGGAAGCGCCTGCGAGTTTGCAGGAAGAACTGGCCCGCTGTGTGTGCCTGGCGCAATACCTAGCCCTCTGTTTGGATCCTGGTTGAATTGTCTCATCTCAGGCAGACCGTGTGGGCCAGAAGATGTGTAAAGATCTGAAATGGAAAAGCCCCGCCCTGTCGATGGAGGCAGCGTGCTTGGATTGGGATTGTAGGGGGCAGCTGAGTCTTGATATCGGGTAGTCGAAGGAGGAGGCACAGAGGAATGAGGAGCGTAGTGATTGTCCGGACGGGGACGCTTGGTGCTTTGATCGCCGGATCTCATGTTGATGCATATGTGTGATTTGATGGGGAAAGGTTGAGTGTAGAGCGACGCGGATTCTCGTCAGAATGAAATGACAGGTGGCTCAAGTTCCACGAACGTGGAAACATCTGCAACCAAAAGATGGTTCACGCTCTCTTTCGAGTCCGAGACCGGGGCTTGTGTCTTTATCTAAGTCGTTAGCGTGGCTGGCCGTGTTGGGCCGGATGTGACATTCGGATGCAATGCGTACATTGCGCTGCTCTACGGCAAGACGCTCAACGGAAAATTAACCAAGACGAGCAGTGGAAGGAGTTGAGGTGCAGTAGCATCATGCAAAGTTTGCCGATGGGGTTGCGCACAGGACCCAGGCCCACTAGTCCCGAGTGGAGTGAGTGGCTGGTCGGGCTTGCGGCCATTGTGCGCACGCTCGGGGCTGGAGAAAGCTGGTCGACACTTGCATAATCTAGCTTTTCCGCAGGGAACTCAAACCATTTAGTACAAACGAGTTCGGGTATTGGCGATCCCGGGCATCTAACCATAATAGGGGGTGTTGTCCCCACGCCGTTTTGCGACAAGTTGCGAAACAACGCACAGGCATCCGCTGCTTACTCGCTGCTTGACACAGTACCTAAGTAGTCCGTAATTCACATCTCACTCGTGATTGTAAGCCAAAACGAAAAGCACGACTTTTTTATACCTGCACCAGCTGTCCTACACCAATTCTTGGGACCGGGAACACATACTTAATCACCACCAAGGCTGGTCTGGGAGAGGATACCGGTGGCTTGTCAGAACCACACCTTCGTTCTACTAGTAACAAATGCCAATCGAAATTCATGGGAAAACAAATGCATATTAACAGGACTATTCTAAGCCGTACATCAAAAAAAAGACGCCATCATTTCAGATTGGTACCCAACATTTGTGCGCAGAACCTTTTCTCTCACTACCATCAAATCCTTTTCAATATCCCTTCCACGCACTGTTGAAAGCTCCAATTCCTCCCTAGTCAAATAGTAAGTCTCCCTAAGCCGTGAAACACCATGTTTAGTTTGGGGGAACCTTTTTCCAAATTCTTTTTGGATATCTGTCCAGCTCTTCTTTCCGATAATCTTAAGGATCATGATAAACAACTTTTCCTCCCACGATACGTTGCGATTTCTCTCCCTTTTATAGGAGTATGGTCTGTGCTGAGCTGTCCGGCATGTTCTGTTATTTCTGTTGATTGAGTCTTGCACTTCCAAGCTGCAGCACACAGTGCTTGATTTGGAAGCTTCCAGTCGATTTGGGCCGTCTTGACTGTGATTAGAGGGCGCGGCCGCCGGCAGTTGTTGCATAGAGCCAGCACTGCCATCCTCCCAGTCCTTCATGCGGGAGTCGAATGATGCAAATCTTGCTGGTTCCAAGTTCGGTACCTCTGATCTCTCATAGACACAATCATCTTCCCTGAAATGTCTCTTCTCACTCGAGCTCGCCGCCATAAAACCTCTACTTTGTTGTTGGTGAGATGAAGACGGTTGAGGCGTATGAGAATGAAGGGAGAGCGCTGCGGTGCCGGCAGAGGATGTTGCGCCGTTGCGTTGTGCCTCCAGACTGCCAGTATCCTCAATGATGCTGCGTCCGGGGACGGTTTCAGAAAAAGCCGTGGGCGCAGTGCGAATCGGGATTTCGCCATGCAGTTTGTCGACTAGACGCCCCATCCAAACAAAGCATGTGAAGAGGGTATTCAAGTTTTTCTGTTGGGTCTGCAGTTCCACAGCTTGTTGGTGAATTTTGGCGTGAAGGCTTGAGACATCTGTGAGCACCTCCTGCGGAGTCGGCATAGGGAAGGCTTGCCGATAACTATTGACTCCATAGTTCGTAGTGGGAGTCCGGGAAATAGCTCTCTCATGATGACTCGGTGGTGTATTCGATTGTGTAACGTTGGTGAGCGGAGGCAGAAGAGGGTCCCTGCTGAGAGGTAGAGTGAGGAGACTGCTGGGTGGAGGCAGAGGAAGATGGTTGGCGGGTGGAGGTAGAGTGGGGCGATTGGTGAGTGGAGCCGAAGAAGGGCGGATGCACTCCTGACGAAAAGCGGTACTTTCATAGCGCTCGGCAAAAGAGTTGAAAGGACGGCTGTTAGGGTTTCTGTCGCCGTCATGCGGGCCCTTATTGGTAGCCATTGTGAGGATGACAGTCCGCCATAGAAAGGCTGATCTGGACCGAGAGCAACAGTCACTGTCAGCGGAACAGTTATATAGAGCTGCATAATTAGTGCAGCTGATCTTTCTCTCCGTGGCTCAAAAGGAGACTCATTTACCGCCTTGACGGTAACAAAATTTTCTCTCAGCTTGGCTGCATGCCCCGGCTCCTGAGACATCTGAGGGGACCGGGATAATCCCGCATTCAAGGATTACCACGCGCCATCCAGCATCAATAATTTCTTGGTGGTCTAGGAGGTATCCCATTTTTGTTTAGGCCTCTCCTTTACGGAAGGGCGCCCGGGAAGGCATTTCGTGTGAATCGCAAAACGCACAAATTCAGGGTCTTGGACTCGGTGCCTAGAGCTATTGAGCGGGTACTATAATTGGCCTTGCAACTCCCAAATGGGAGCTTTCGTGGGAAGAGGCACGCCTTTCGATGAATGCTCTAACGTGATCGATTGGAAGACGGAAAGAAATGGTAGCCGCTCTGATAGAGGTCCGATCATGGCTCAGTGCTGCGACGGTAATTAGGGATCGCCTCCCTGTAACATTAATGAACGCGAATAGTTCCAAAGTTGCAACATCCGGTGTAAATTCTGCTATTCCAACGCCTCAAGACAATGTTTAAAGATAGACGACTACGAAATACGAAATGTAAGAGAAGATCCCATTGGAGCCGCCACCACCATTCAATAGAAAATCCTAACCTTTCCCTGTTTCTTATCCTCTTCCTCTTCTCCCACAACTTCCTTTTCTTCCAACAGGGCGGTCAAGGAAGACACTCTCTCAAACCCATCCAGTCCTGGCTTTGCATCGTTCAGATCCGGGTCCCCCTTTACTGCAAACACGAATGTAGTGCTCCAGCCGTTGAAAAAAGCATTCTGGAATGCCGTGTTGAGGCAAGCTGCCGTGTTGCCCACTTTCTCCATCTTGATAGTAGGCAGTGCCAATGGCGGAAGAGGAGAGCCAGACGCACCAGGTACATGGCCACTCGCCTCTATGATCATGTAGTAGGTTATGAACTCCTCTTCGAGCTTTTGTTTGTTGCGGGTATCACAGAGGGAAGAGCCCAAGGGACAGTCCTCGTCGGCTGGGCCTTCGCCTCCTGGGAAACACCAGCAGCGACTTCCCGGCATGGTTGTGCGCATGGGGTCGCTCACCCACACACTCAATATGCTACTAGGCGCAACCAGAGATGGCTTAGTGCTGGCAAGTATCCCGCCACCAAGACCAGTCGATCCCAGACACCCGAGTTGCTTCAGGTCATGTTTGGATGGATATATGTACCAGCAGCCCACTTCGCCGTGCCGTATCAGCCAAAGGTATTTGTGTAGATCGAACGGCGATGCAGCGCGGTAGGTTATTGCAGCCTGTTGGTGAAATGTGTTGGTTTGAAGATGGACAACCCGTTCGGTGGGTCTTTTGTTGGGTGGTCCCATAGGCGGTAGGAGTTGTATGGGTGATTTGATGACATCATAGCGCTTGACGCTCCCTGGCGGCGGCGGCGGTGGTGGTGGTGGTGGTAGAGGTGGTTGAGGAGGACGAGGAGGGGGAGGACGAACTGACACAGATGCCAGCTGTGATGGTGGTGGTGGTGGTTGCTGACGGGAGCTCATGAGTAGGGCTTCCCGGCTTCCTCCACAGCTATCGCCCGGTGAGCGGGAAGGCGGCTGTTCCTCTTCCAGCCCATCTGGATAAGTGTGTCCGTCCTTTGAGCTCTCCGACGACTCAACATCTCTGCGTGTTTTCTGGCGAGGAAATGCGTCCAGGAGTTGAGCTGGTGGCGCCGTGTCATAGTCCGATGATGGAGTATCAGGAGTGGTAAAAGTCCCGCTTCTGATCGGGACTTCCATCTGAAGTAGATCTGAACTTTGGGCGGTTACAACAGAAAGATGACGGTTTGGAGCAGAGTCAGCCACGGCAGTGCCTTGTGCAGCCATTTTGTGTTGATTTGAGATGATCGAGACTGTGTGCTCAGGATAGAGCAAAAGACTTAGACCTTAAATGGCCCGCCCATTACTAGCAACCAGAAACGCGGCACAGCAGGCATCAGCCAAGATGCTAGGAAGATATGCCAGGATTCAGCCCGCAGCGATTTTAATGGCCTTAACTTACTACGGGCAGGGCGGCATGCTTTCGCGGAAGCAAACCCGTGTTTGGCATAATGCGGGATATATCGGCTTGCCACAGACCGCAGGACGCAAGTTAATCACGCATCTAGATTCTAATAGCCGACACGGTTCGAGGTGAAAGAGAGGTCTGATACGTCGCCCCATCTTACACAGGCGCAGGTTGCATCGAGTCTAGTCGACGCCTCCTGCAGGTGACACGAGCAGGCTAGGTGTATGCACAGCATATCTCCGGGGGAACTGGGCGTCTAGGCGCTTGCGTGTCCAGCACGGGGGAGCCCCGATGGAGCACCCGCAGGAGGCAGTCACAACAGGGGCGGACTTGGAGGACTGAGAAATCCTCACGTAATGGTCTTCTGCTGTGTTGCCAAGAAGCCATAGCCCGAATTCCTGGCTGGTTGGACAGTAGTCAGACGACAAAAATGACCATATCATGTTCCGATGGCGTAGGACACCACCACACTCTACAGCTAAGCAAAACCCTGGTTTCTGTTCTATCAAAATGATGAAATCACAGCTCAAAAGGGAGCTCCGGCACATTCTCTTCTTCCTCCTTGTTCAGAGTCTCCCAGTATGAGCTTGTTACGTCCTGGTCGAGACAGTCTGGCAGGCCGATAAGAATTATGCGATAGGAGAGAGGCTCGCGGTGCAATTTGAGATTCTATACTGTTAGAATATTATTCACTTGTACTGATAAGGGTGATTACCTCTAAGAGCTCTAAGAAAGTCTTCCCAAGGTGAGGATAGACAAAGCAGATGTCGGCAACGTCGTTACCCCTTGCCTTGCATGTTTGTATGACTTGCGACACGTGTACCCATTTGCCAGATACTAAGAATTCACCATAGCACCGATCGATATTGTAAGATCGCTGTCGCCAGCTTTCGACCAACAAATCTTTATCATCCTCTTTGATCTCGTTGTAAACCGTGAAGTCCGTAGTCAAGGTACCGGTGCGAACGAGCCTGCGCGAAAGCAGAGCGATGCGTTCTAAAAACTCTGGAAGCGAGTGTGCTTCGAACACCTCGCCGATAGGTGAGACCATTGTGTGAAGAAAGCTCTCGATCGTCTTTAGGATGTCCGATTGCTCCGGATCATCCCATAGTCCAACCTCAAGAGCTTTCTTGAGGAGCTCAAAGTCTGATCCGACCTATACGACAGTCAATGACTATTCAGACCTCCGGACAGAAACATACCCGACAAGCTCGTTCCCAAGCATCTCTTAAGGGATTGTCCCTGTTCTTCTTTACCGTGCTCACAAGGTCTCGGTGGGATTCAAGGAGTGAAGCGACGCCAGTGGAAGATATGCCCAGAGCAAAGGACACCAAAGCCTCTACGCGAACCTGCTGGAAGGCCATCTTGTGCGTTTCCACGACGGAATTTGCAAATTGTATCAGCTTCATATGGTCGAAGAGATCGTCTGGTATCGCGGGCCATTCGATGTTTGATGCTTTGGGTTCTTTGCTAAGAAAATTCCACAGTTGGTCAGAGGACAGACCACAGATGGAACAACAGCTAGCATCTTCTTTGGTCAGCTGTGAGATCAAAATCTTGCTTTTGCTATCGAAAGGCTTACTTTGACATGGGCAATCCAAGTGGCCACACGAGAAAGCCTCGTGGGGATCGAAAAGGAGGGAAGCGCGGCAGGCACCGCAGCGCCCAAAAAAACCGCGAAACCAAGACGGACTCTTTCTTTCCTCTTTGTACCCGAGGTTGGTCCAGGTGTCAGGGTCATCCTGCCGTTTCTGCACGCGCTTTTGTATATCGTAAGAATCAATGCAGGGAAAGCCAATCTGAACCAGCTGCTGAACCTGCCACGCTTCTCCTGTCTCAAGAAGGGCTCGTATCTCTGCTGATTTGGCGTCAGTAAGGAGCTGGTTTGACATGTTCACTGGTCGGGAGATGAGTCTCCTGGAGTCTCTCACCGGGCAGGCCCACCATTCTTAAGTATCGAGGTGTCACTGGACCGACGACGTGTCGGAACCATGCATTACAAGTGTCTGAGGATCCAGACTCCCGGAAGTGTACTGATTCCGAGAGATAAGAGTTACAAATCGAGGCAGGTCCTCTCCTTTTGACCCTTGCTAGCGCAACCTAGACATCACGCACTATTGCGTGCCGTCAAGCTCCGCGAGGTGTTGCAGTCACATATCACACACAGTGGCTGAATTGTTCATTGCGTGGTTGATCATATGCTATAATTTTTTCTTTGACGAAAGATACATGGCTTATTTGTATCTCAAAAATACGGTCATGAATAACGATATGTAATCATTGCAGCACATTGATAAAAAAAGGTGAACAAAAAAAATCAGACTTCAGAGAGAGCCCGTATTCGCGTCGTCATCGCCACCAACTCCGGCACCTTCAGGGACTCCACCAGAAAGACCACCACTGACACCAACACCACCGGACGCCGAGCTATCAGCGCCAGCGCCAGCCTCAATGAATCTCCCGAATGATGTATAAATCATCCATTGGCGAGCTGGCGCATTTGCTTCTACTAGCCGATCATTTTGCTGCTTCAAGATGACTCAATTGCCCACACTAGCCAATTTGGTGTC